AGGAGGAGGAGGAGGGGGCGGAGAAAGTTGAGGAGGAGGAGGACGACGAGAAGAAGGGAGAAGGAGGAGGACGAGGAGAGAAGGCAACGAGGACGGGAAGAGGAGGGAGGGAGGGGAGGACGAGGACGAGGGTGACATGGAGGATGGGAGGAGGAGTAGCAGATAAAAAGCTTTCTGCTGTCTGGATGTTCAACGCAAAACAAACAAAAAAAAGGATGTTCAACGCAAATAAACGAAGGTTTTTGCTTTGCTTTTTCCTTCCAATAAATGCGGGCTACTGGGTCAGTCCACGAATACATTGGAGCTGGTGCTGTTGAACCACCAGTGCGTCGACGTTTTTAGGCCGTTAACGCGGTGGCTGAATCGGTCCGCCGCGCGGGTCCATATGCATTTGCGTCAGAGCCTCCCCACGGTCTTAGGCCGTTAACGGGGTGGCTGAATCTGTCCGCCGCGCGGGTACATATGCATTTGCATCAGAGCCTCCCCACGTTTTTAGGCCGTTACGATGCGCCGCGCGGGTCATATGCATTTCGTCAGAGCCTCCCCAGAGGGGCCCTAAGACCCCCCGGGGTACTGGTGGTTTAATTTAATGAAAATAATTTTAGAAACTGAACATAAAAAAAAAAAAAAACGAAAATCGATCACGCAGATGAGGACAAGCCAAGGACAAATTCTCAATTTATGTAAAAAAAAAAAAAAAAAAAAAAATCAATTTATGCGGGGCATCCTTGCCCAGGGGCCATTCCAATCTTCTCTGTGTTATTCCAATTTCGGGACATCCGATTCGGTCAACATTGGAATGATACAAGGACGATTAGCATGGCCACTGCGCATGGATGCCACGCATAAATATAAATCGAGCGACAAGACAAAAAAAAAAAGTTTAACTTGAGTTTAAATCAACTGCCGTAGATCAGTTGGTACTGTAACAGCCCTTAACTGTTGAAATGCAGACGTGAGTTCAAACACGGATGCAGGGCGTTTCCGAAAAAAAAAAAGTTTTAACTTGAGTTTAAATCAACTGCCGTAGTTTAACTTGAGTTTAAATCAACTGCCGTAGATCAGGGGGTCCTTTCCGAAGCCAGAAAAAAATTCGGGACGAGGACAAACTACACGCAAAAATCGTCCTTGGAATTTTCTGAAAAACAAAAACGGAAAAGAATCGAGACGAGGACAAACTACACTGAATCTCTGACATAAGGAGGGCGGACCAGATTCCGCGAATCCGTATTTGCATCAATAAATTATTATTATTTTTTTCAATAAATTTCTTGTCCTTATTAACATTCAAAGAAATTTATTGTCCCAACAGTGCAGGGCGTTTCC